TATGAATATACGATGAATACGAATAAAACTTTTCTTTCATGCTCATCGTCATTTTTGTCCCCAACCGTCTTTAAAAACTTCAACGTGCCCATCATATGTGATATTTTCTTCTTTCGGGTTCATGTGTGTAAGAGTCTTATGTACTATTATAGCACATTAACACCACTATCTATAACGAGTCTTACCTCTACAAAGCCTCCTTTCTGAGGTTTGAGAAAACNAAAAACACCACTATCTATCTATAATAATATCACTAATCACTAGGTTATATTCGGCTTTCCTATTTCAACTCCTTATTGAAATATAGAATCTCCATTAGTTTATACATTAAAATTTTAAGAGTAATGCTAGTTAGCTTACTTGTTGGATGACAACTTGGATTACAACCCAAATACAAATGTATTATCAAGCAGTTAAAAAATAATGTATTCACACTGAAATTGTAACTTGTAATCGAAGTTGTCATTCAAGTTGGCCCTATAACATTACTCAAATTTTAATTTTATTTGAGACTTCTTTATTTGACAATCATAATATATATATATATATAATTGCTAGCTAATCCCATTTAATAAAACATTTAATAAAAATATTTTCACTTTCCGTCCAAAAGGAGTTACATTTTTTTTAATTAATTACTCATTAATCTCACATTTAAGAAGGTTTTTTATAGTTAAATTTAATTAGTTAATGACTAAATTAAAAAGATTTATTTTAATTAATCCCACATTTATGTTAAGTACAGTATTATCTTAATATCTTATTAGTTTTTCAAAAAAATAGTAACTTTTTTCAATAAATTTTATAAAAATTAGTCAAATGTGCTTATATTCATATAAATCAGAAAAAAAATTAAATCTTAGATATATAAAAAGAACATCGTTGAAATAACTTGAATCCGCAAGGGTAATTCTATACTCATTATCAATTACTTTAATTTTTTTGTTTATATTAAAAATTAATATTATATTTACTCATTTATATTTAGATGGTATTTTTCTTATTAAGAAGCAAGGACAATCTCTATCAATCAATAAGAGTCAAGGACAAACAATATAAAGAAGTGTTTCTTATGCTATGACATGATCAATAAGAGTCAAAGACAGTCTCTGTCGCACGTCGGTTTACTACTGAAGAGCTCTGCATTTAGTCATGAGCAATTATACGTGGCGCTTTTTAGAGTTACGAGTCAGTGGGGTTTGAAGATTTTGATTTGAGCTGAGGGAGATTTTGACGATAGAAAAACCACGACGTTGTTTTATAAAGAAGTGTTTAAGAATATTTATATTTTTTTTCTTAATTTTTTTCAATGAATTTGTTATGATTTTTACTATTGTTTATAATTTTTATTATTTTTTCATGTATCATATAGTTTTCCGTGCAAATGCACGGGACAAAAACTAGTATAATAATTATTTCACATATAAATTCAAAGTTGGGTATACTTTGGCCTTATTACAAGAGCTATACCAAAAGATTTTCAAAAGGTATGACATGGTAACCGGCAAAAATTAAAAAGTGGCCGTATAATTTAATCAAAGTCAAAAAATTAACCCCGTCAAATTAAGTCTGATGGTTTGTCAAGCAAGACCAACTTATTGGATCTTGGCTTTTGTCTTTCTAATCAAAAAATGTTTTTGCCACAACTGTTGGGTTGAGCCTTTCAAAAGAGATATGGGCTCCCCGAGATCTGGTTGTGCAAGCCATAGCTTGGCTAAGAAAATGCAACTCTAACTTGAGTTGCAAACTCTCAAGATGGGGAGAATGAAAATGAGACCAATACTTCGTCAAAGTAAAGGGAATTTGTGATCTCTTAGGCACAACTGGACAAAAGGATAGAAAAAAATGACTAGATCATGTTTCTACTGGACGGTCTAAGAACATAATCTTGCATCAGAATATAAGAGAAATGAGAGAATTTAGATAACAAATGGAACATGTATGGTTATAGCACATACTGGTAGTTCAATGATGATCAGTCTTTGTTCAAACCAATCCAATGTTTTTCTTCTCAATAACCATATCCAAATCCCTCAAATCACCAAAAATATTCTAAGTGTTTCTCAATTTGCTAAAGAGAACCATGTTTATTTCGAATTTCATCCACATTTGTGTTATGTGAAGGATCTCAAGATAGGAACAACTTTGTTTCAAGGAACTATCACTACAACATAAATGGCTTTAGGTAGCACCAAAAAAATGATACGTAAAAGCTATAAAATGTTACCTATAGACAATAGGTAACACAATATTGGCGCTGCAGTTGTTTGTGCTACCTAAAGTCAAAGGTAATATTTTTGGTAGTTTTTTGTAACACTTATATGATACTTTTGCTAGTTTTTGCTAACACTTATTTTATAAGTGTTACAATAATATGATATATAAACCAATAATTTGTAAAGTATTACCATAAATGGCACTACTTAAAGTCATTTATGTTAAGGATGACCTTTACAGTTTTCTGTTTTTTTCCTTTCAATTTTTCTTATTAACCTTATTACAATCTTTCTTAATCCATCACAAATTCATGTATTAATTATTATGTAATCTCGATTAAACCGTCCATTAAAACAAATGTAGCCCGAAATTGTTGGCGGTCGACCCATGAACATTACTTAGAGCATCCACAACGGTGCATTAATTTGCCCCGTTTAAATGACAGTTGAACGTTTAAACCAATGCAGTCTTAACATTTAAACTAATGCAGTCATCCATTAAGAGTCTGGGCCCATTAATTCGTTCAGTGGCTTGAACGGTATCTTTTGGTGCCTTTTTTATTTTTATTTTTATTTTTGTTTTATTTAATATTTAATTTTCTTTTGGTCCCATTGTTTCATTAATTCGTTATATTTAATTTTCTTTTGGTCCCATCTTTTGGTGCTTTTTTTTATTTTAAAATTTATATTGAATGAATGGATATAATGGAGTCTCATATTTGTACTTAAATAAATGTGTAAGGATGTAGGTGTGTGTTTAAATGGAGAGAAAATTAGTGAAAAAATGATGTGAAGATGATGTGGATGAGAGAGTGTGTAATTTTTTTATTAAATAAATTGAAAAAAAGTTAACAAATATGAATGCCCTTATCAAAGTAGAATGAGCATAGAAAGGTCAAATATGCGTCATATCATATAGTACTAATCGCGACCGGCTTTATTAAAGAGTATCTACCTAGTTAAAATTAACGGCCTCATAAAGAAACTTTTTCAATTCCCAATATAGGAAGAGATAAGTTTTATCAAAATCTTCTTTAAGGTATTCTTCTTTTAATTAATTAATTAATTAATCTTTTTTTTTAATAAATATCGTTTTGAGAAGTTATATATTAATTAAGAATCATTTTTTTTTGCCAATAATAACCCTCATTAATGAAGATAAAGATTGATGTTTTGAGAAAAGATGAAGAGTGAATATGAAAAGACGAGTGTATTTATTAGGTAGATGAGGGTAACAATGAAAAAATATGTATAAAAGATTCAAAACGACATTTATTTAATAAATTGTTGACAAAGCCAAAATGACATTTAAAAAAAATAGGAATGAGTAATTAACAAGAATTCATTAGCAAACCCACATTAGCAAACCCACCTTTTTAATCTCCTTTCTTAGCTAGTTTGGGTATTCAAGAACGTATGGATGGACATGTTGTTGGCTGTCGTGTAAAGCGAGCCGAGACACAAGGATAATCTTTTCTTTAAGTTTTTTTTTTTTTTTTTTTTGGTTCTATACATATATATATTACATTATCTTGTTCTCTTTCTCAAATTTGTGAGAGCAAATTGAATCATCAAGTCATAGATGCAAAAGCCATAATTAGTACTGGGAAAGTTCTTATTTTAGACGTGCTGATAGATGGTGAGAACTTATCCAGATAAATTAATAATATCTTTATATTCCGCTTTTAATCAGTCCAATCTTGATACAATGTTTCTTTAATCAGTCCAATCTTGATACAATGTTTCTTTAATCACCGTCACTTAAATTTCCTATATACATTTGTGTAATTAATTTAATTACACAAAGACTGAAAACAAATGGAGGGGTGGTAAAATTTGATCTCTTTGACGTTGGTGTTTAGATTCATTTTCTAATTTTACATCTAAATATATAAGGTCATGTGGACACAAAATAAATAAGAAAATTGTAAGATTAACATCCAAATTAATCGTGAAAAGAAATTATTGGGTTGATGAGAGTAAATTATAGAAAGAATTAATAGAAGGTCATCGGTTTCCAAATTGCATATATTGATTATTTGTTAGTAAAATTTGTGATACGTATATATTAATTCTTGAGGCGGAAGCACACCTCAACAACAATGTTGTGGGTTTATTGTGTTGGGGCTGTTTGTTTTGTGATTTTTGTGTGTCGATTCTCCCTTTTGCAAACAGTGCGATTTTTTCTTTTGGGAACTGTGTTTGTGTAATTTTTAATTTGAACTAGACTAACAAATTTCGTACTATTCAACTTAGAATTTTGAATATTTCAACTTTTCATTTGAAATTAATATGAAAAAAATTGTAGTTTTTAGTTGTCATCTTAACAGATGGCAGTAATCCCTAAAAATACAAATTGTAAATATTTTATCTCTTAAATGTTGTTGCAGGAATGTAACGTAAAATAGCGTAAAAAGTATATCATTTCAACATTTCGCTTAAGATTTTCAGAAAAACACTAAATATAAAAAGGTATGGTTTACTGTAAATTTGCGTTAGCTCGCTATGGAACGCTATTTAAACGCCAATCATGACTAGAAATATCTAAGCTTGCAATAGTCAAATGACGGATCAGTTTCCCAATTAAAAAAAGAAAAAAGAAAAGAAAAGGAATTATGTTGATGATAGAAATGAAGATATTACGTAAGATAAATGATTTATGTATAACCCCCCCTTTTTTCAATTAAATTTCTTGATGTAGCTTGATTGAAATGAAAAAAAATATATATACATCTCATTTCGTCCATAAATGATGTGTTGTAACTTTTTTTTTTTTGTCAATAGTGATACTAAATACACTTTTATTTGATTTCTTATTCTCGCAACACGACATATCCTTCTCATAATTGGTTGTCGTCACGTTTGCTAGCTATAATACAACGAGCTAAATCACCAATAATTGCATTAATATTTCCACTATATAATCTCTTATTATTGTTCTAAAAGTTCAATAATATTAAATTCAATATATTGTTCTAAAAGTTCCTAGTCTAACCGACATTAATCTTAATAAAATGAAAATAAATAATAATTTTCAAAAGATAAGAAAAAATAAACTAAAATCTGTTGTCTGTTTTCCTCTCTATTTGCTACCACTAATCCTCAAACATATAAAATAAAAAAATAAAAAGGAAAAAGCTAATAGTACACTCCTGTTCGCCTTCTTTTCCCCACTTCTTTAATTAAAAATGGGCCGTCAATGTTGGTGATTCTGCCTCTCGTCACATGGGCCATATTTTAAATGGGCTCCATGTGAAAGCCCACACGTGATGCGTCCATCCACCCACACACACATCCGACAAGATTAGCTGGGTCCCACGCCTCAAATGGGAAAGCGATAGGGGAGAACGAAAGAAAGAGTTCAGACGAGGTGATGATGGCTCAACCGCCATATAGCAGCCGCGAAGGCGACGGCCAAGCCAAGCACGTGCGCGCACGTGGAGGACGACGCCGCGCTTGTATCGTACGCGCCCTCGTACACCATGGTCCCGTCGAACGGCGTGTTACTGTTACTGTTGCCGTTGCTGTTGCTGTTGCCGCCGTCGTCGGATCCTGGGTTCGGGCCGCCGGATGATTTTTGGCTGCAACAATTAGAATATAAAAAAAAATATTAAATTACACTGGGAAAAAAAATCAGGTTTGGACGGCAAAAAGTAAGGCGCAGGCGGTGCCGGCATCTAATTGTCAGTGTGTGTGCTGAATGTTACCGTTAACGTTAACGGCAGCAAAATGTTTGCCGACCTACCCTAATAATAGTTAATTATCAAGAATTAGCGCGTAAAACAAAAAGAGATTTTTTTTTTCACTTTTAAATATAAATAAATATGCTCATAAATCTCCGTGAATCTGAGATGATTCTTTCACCTAAACATAAAAGTATTTTTACCAAAAAGAATACATAATAAATTTGATTCATTATTTATTTAAAGCGATACTCAACCACAAAACACGGTAACTGAATTAATGCTTTAGCTATCATAGTTATTGTTGAAATTAATAAGGTGGTCCATTAGCAATTATTAGAGCTCGTAAACAAATCGATGTGAAAATGTTTTATTTCCTAAAAAAATTATATATTGATACTTATCTTCACGATCTACATAAAATAATTCAATAAAGGGACAAAGCTAACGGTCAGTTTTCTAACCGCGACGGTGTCAGAGATTGTCTTTAGTGAAAGGAAACGTGAAGAGGAATTTGCCAGCTTTAATGAACTGTCACCTAATAGACGAAATTACCCCCTAGAGAAGGGCAAAATGGGAAATACAGATTGGCGTGTCAGGTAAATTTACCTTGTGTTCGGCGAGGGGCAGAAAGTGAGGGTGTAGTCGGCCCCGGTACATGTGAAGGTGCTGGTACGGTCGTCGTATGCGTAGCTGTACGCGCGTGGGCACGCGCTCTTGAACACCATCGAGTAGTGCGACGGCTTGCACGCGTCGGGCGTGCCGTACGCGCCGCTGCAGCAGTACTCCTCCGTCCCGAACCGCTCGCACGCACTTCTGCACGCGATGCCACCGTCCACGCGCAGGTCCGACGGGCACGCGCCGTTGAGGTCGGCCACGCACCCCGTGCTCGTGCAGTTGTCGCCGCTGCCGCCCCGCGGCACCACCAGCATCGGAAGGTTGTACCCGTCGACTAGGCTCACGTCGAAGAAGTCCTGCCCGCCGGCGCCATCGAGCGTGAACTCCGCGAGGGTGGCGGGAGGCACCGCGCCCAGGCCGCCGCACTCCAGCTTCCCGGAGCCGCAGTCGCCGGTCCTGCAGACGAAGTTCCCGTTTGTTGAGTCCTCGGAGCACAGAGTCCTGCCCCAGAACCGGCCCGCCCAGGCCGATGGCACGGCGATCTCCCTCGAGTCGCCGCTGTTCAGGACGAAGCCGGTCGTCGGAAGGGGGGCGATGCCGGCGTTCGACAGGAGGCCCGGCCAGACCGTGTACGGGCACTTGTTCACGAAGGTGAATGTGGTGGAATACACACCTGAAACACAAATCAAACATTAAAACATCAAAATCTTTATCAGACTCAAACTAATCAGATCGATCGAGCTGCAAATCACAACAACTCGAAAAGAATCTAAACTTACAGTTGCCGAATTTGATAAAACTGTACCTGCCATTAATGAATTCGCGAGAATTAGGAAGAAAATCTGGAAGCTGATGAACTTTCCCATACTGTTAACGCCGTGTAAATACTAAATGATATAAAAAAAATAACTTGAACAAAAAGAGCAAAGTGGATGAAGAATGGCGGTTAGAGAGATGACCCTTTCTTCTCCGAAGGGTTATGGTGAGGACTGAGGAGAGAGAAAGGGGTTATTGAAAATAAAGGCGGTTGAGGTATATATATATAGGCACGCATAATGTGTAGTGGTTGTGGGCCACAATGGTGGGCCACATGGGTGGGCCGGGTGGGTGGGCTTGGAAAAAGATATTAGCTTCGTATTTACACATTATTAGGCCCGTGGGTGATTAATGGGTGGGTGGGGAATATTAATTTGAGAAATTTACTCCCTTTACAATTCATTGTCTAAATAATATCACGATTACGATCTCCCAAAATTTTCATCAAAATTACGTTTTTAATAATTAAAAGATTATTAATAGGTCAGACGGTTATATATGGCCTAATTAACCATCAAGTGGGATTAATTATATTTTTTGAAACGTGAGAAGAGGTCTCCCTCAAGCAGACGACATAACCACGTTATCTTCTTCCTCAAGAAGCAGTCCAACGCACGTCTTTCTCTCTCCTTCATATACTCAGGCCGAAGGATTTTTTTTCTCCCTCGTTCATCTTTTTCTCGCGCAAAAATTTTCTCCTTTCTCTGTTCTTAATTTTCACCATTGAGCAGCGTATAAAAAAAAAAAAAAAAAAAAAATCGGTCACTCCTAGTAGACCCGCCGCGATCTGTCCGCCGTTCAACATCTCGCCCTCGCAAAGCAGCTCCTATCTGCCGCTTTCACATGCGTCCTCGCAACAAGCCCTTGTCGAGGAAACCTCAGACCCGAACCCCTCCGATCAGCCATATACGAGAGCTTCAAGGCCACGCGCTTCCACCGCCGAGATCCCCCATTGACAAGCGCGTTTCGCCCTTGCTTCCACCAATCGAAGTTTCACGCATTTCAGATGGTCATAAAGACACCATAAAGAAGAAAAGGAATATTGCGAACAAGGGTAAAAGCAAGATGCTTGAATCTTCATCGACAAGTCTTCTTTGACGAAGACGAAGCAGACAATCAGTTGGCGGCGGACTTCTCTACTGATGAAGATGATGTGATGTAAAGTAGACATATGTTGTTTACCTTATGTATAACTACATTCGGTTTGGATTTTGTAGTCATTTAGAATTATTTAGAATTATGTATTATGTTGTATTATGTTTTATCTCGTTTCAATGTTGTTATATATGTTGTTTATCTTTTGTATAACTATACAATATTAGAGAACTCTCATATCATGTTTATCTAATGTATATATACAGTATATCTAAACATATGAGATTTATGAATTATGTTTTATCTCGTTTCAGTGTTGTTTATATGTTGTTTATCTTTTGTATAACTATACGGTTAATATTAGAGAACTGTCAGATCATGTTTATCTAATGTATATATACAGTATATGTTAACATATGAGATTTCGTGAGGAACAATTTGTTCTTTTCATGTTTATCTAATGTATATATACAGTATATCTTAACATATGAGATTTCGTGACGAACAATTTGTTCTTTTCCATTCTTGATCGGAGCTTTATTTTTTTAGTATGATGAACGATTTTTTTTTGGAACTTAAGATGTGGAAAAACAGACAACTCCGTTTGAATTTATGAATTCAAAAATTCCTTAATTCTAAGTATCATATTTGGTAATTTTTTCTTTTTTTTTTTCTTCAATTTCCGTTTTCTTTGCCGGTCATTCGGGAAAATTGATTGCTAGAAACCAAGTGAGAGAAAGGTTATGGAGAGAGAAACCAAGTGAGAGATTACCGCTTTATTTACGGAGAGAGAAACCAAGTGAGAGAAAGATAATCTCGTAAGTGTAAAAAAAATATCACATGCAAGTTCTTTTTTGATTAAACTTTCTTTAGTACGTATATATGTAAATATATCTTACATAAACTCTATATATTTAAATTCCCCTATTAATTTCAATGATGGATTTCAAATCTTTGATTACTTTCATGATTTGATCTTAACCTCCATTTTTGCGTATAATTGCACGTTGTGTTTAGTGTATACACTTTGTCTTGGTTAGATGTGAGTTACATTTTGAGGATGGATAGATTATGCTTTTAGTATTAAATTATGAATTGAAAATATGTGATTGTCCAATTAGACACTCTAACATTATAGCATTAATGTTTAAAAATTGAACAGAGACATGTTGATTGAACAATAATATCGAACTTTATAATTTTAGGACCGCAAATGTTATTAATAGCCTAAAATATATATTCAATATTTTATGTATATATATATATATATATATGTAATTTAATTGGTGAAATAATATAAGTGGTTTCCATTTGCTTTATGAAAGGCAATGTTGTATAAGTTGTCAGTCTATGTACTATATTTAATATTTTCCATACTTTGAGATGTTTTTGGACAAGAATAATTTAGACAAATAAAAATAAAATTGAAATTCGAAATGGCACAAGTCTAGATTATGATCATTTTGTGTTTGCTTGTTCTAGGAAAAAATAGAGAAAGGCTTGGAATTACTTTCAGCTTACGTTTCTCTTGATTGATTTTATGAAACCATAATTTTAAGCGCCAAGTTATGGTGAACAACCGAACTTAGTGAATATTAGTGATGCCTTTTTGTAGTATTCTCTAAAACTCTATCTTATTTAAGGAAATTACTAGTACAGTGACCGTGCTATGCACGGAACTTTATTATTTTCGTCATTTTTAAAAGACAATTTAGTATTTAAATTTAAATTATATAAGAAAGCACCGATCATTGATTATAATTAAACCTAACAAATACTTATTATAAGATACGTGTAATTATTTATATTAATCATATTGGACTTGTATAATAGGAATGTCTTTGAAAAATATGGGCTTCAAAAAGTTCATATCGGTCCAATTTACAATGTTGGTTTCGAAAGTTCATATCGCCCAAACAAAATAGAAAAAATAAACCAATGATCCAGATTAGTCAACGCAAATCGACGGTTTAGATTACACTGAACATAGTATAAATAGTGAAATTATAGGACCAATGACTTCATTTCTTCCTTCATTTTTCGCCGCTTCCAACTTCTTCTTTCGTCTTTTTTTATCGATCTTCTTCCAACGTTTCCGTTCTAACACTGAGGGTCTTATAAATACATATTCTTCTTTAGTTTTCATTTAATCGATGCTTTAAATTAGTTTTTGGTGTTTTGCACGAAACAAAATATGAATTGTTCAATTTGCAGGTTTTTATTTTCGATTTTTGTAGTTTTATGTTCGAATTTTTTGGTTTTTACAATTAATCAAAAAAATCCTTCGAATTTAAGTGTGCGCCGGTAGATTTTGTTAATTTTAGTTGTTTTGCCCGAAAATAAATGTGGAATTTTTAATTTTAAGGTTTCTTTGTTCGATTTTTGTACTTTTATGTTCGGATATTTTGGGTGTTTACGATTAGTCAAAAGAACTCTTAGAATTTGAGTATGTGTCGGTAGATTTGTTATTTTTTTATCGGCAAAATTATTTTGTTACACAAAATTTTTTGGCGTCCAAATAATTTTTTTGTTTTAAAACTCAACTCCACTGAAAACATACAAATCTGACAATTAATTATGTGATATCATTGATTTTGATGAATTGCACATAATTATTATGGGTTATGAACTTGCAAGTTTTTTTTGCCCAAATTAATGAATGTTGATATCAATTAATTTTAAAAGGATTGGTATTGAAATAAAACTCAATTTTTTAAAAGCATTATTTGTACCAAAATTGAGCAATTTAGTTACCAAAACTAACTATCCGTGATTGAAGGCATATTTAAATGTTTCTCATTTAATAAATAAAAAATAAAACAAAACTTGCTCGAAATAGTATGCAATTAATGTTGTCAGATTTTTTTGCTTACTATTTTTTATAAATAATAATTCTTATTATTATATATATATATATATATATATATATATATATAAGAATTGAAAAATTATTAGTATAAAATGGAACCGCGCTTTTATCTTCTAAATGTTTAGACAGCTACTTATATTTAGCAAATGGAGACTTGGTAAGCTCGGGTTTATAGGTGTATATTGTTGTAAAATAGTTTAGATTCAATTAGAAAACTGGGAAAACTATCAAGTAATGTAAAAAAAAAAATGTGAAACGGGTCGGATCTAGAAAAAAAAAATTGGGAGGGGCTAAAGCAGTTGTTAGAACAGAATTGTGTTTGTTCCACTCGTGAAAGTTTGATCTTTATACCATTTATATATTTAAATGAGCTAAGCTAGAACGACTATTCAAACTTTTTTATTAAACAAATCGAGTAGATTGAAGCTTACACAAGCCGAGTTTGACCTCATATTTATTTTGTCTATGAAATATTCGAGCTGATTCGACTCATTTGTTAAACTATCACAAGCTTAATCATGAGGTATTCAACTTGACTCGACACGAATAATATTTCGAGGGAACTATATACAATTTTTAATCTCTATCTCTTTCACACGCACACATATATATAGGCGTAAAATTGCATTTTGAAGATGGATAAAATAATTAATAAGTTGAACTACAAAAGACATAACTTCTTACTTTTGGTAGTTTAAATGCTCAACATTCTTGACATTCACGAATCTCATTGATGATTTGCACGATATTAATACAAATGCTGTAACTGGAAGGCTGCCTAATTGTTAGGCAGATATATTTTCTTGTGAAAAATGCATTGTTATACTATGAAATGTCATACTTTTATTTGTATTGCAAAGTATGACATTTAGCCACGAGAAGGCCTACTGTAGTATTAATAGTTCTAGCAATTCTCTTTCGAACCATTGAAATGCATATGTTGCATTTTCTTCTATTCTAAATTTACTCTTTAATTTTTTAATTGTACGTAGTCAAACACAAAATATTATAAAATAATATTGAAAGGGTACTTAAAAAAATAAGATGTAGTTAAAACTAGTTAGTAAATAGAACTATACAATAATTTGTAATAATTATGAAAATACGGGTAAATTGAATATTTTTTTTATATACATATTTAATATATATATATATATATATATATTAAGAAATTTAAGTCTTAAAATACATACATACATACATATATATTAAGAAAATTTAGAAGTTTGG